GTACTCAGTACTAAATATAGATAATAATTTATTTTAGTGCTACTACACTTGTTTTGCTTTCATTGACCTGTAGAACCATTTCATGCACATTAGTAAAGACTATGAGCATTTTAGAAGACTCTATGAATAGAAATAGAAACTTTGAGAATTGATTTTTGTTTTCAAATAACTTCCTATACCATTTATTAAGCTATTGTCTCTCAACTTAAAATCCACCCTCCTGTAGTCCACTTTGTGAAGTTGGTACTTTAATTACAAGCGACACTTTTTCTTCTTCCACCAGCTCCCTTTTTGTTTCTGCCATTAGAGGGCACTAGGGAGCAAGCGGAAGGCTGGAAGAGGACAAAGGGACTTGCTCCATCACATCTGCTTTCTGAGTCTGTCTTTCTGCTTGTTATTCCCATGCACCTTAGAAACACTTTTTCACCCTGCAGTGGCAGATCATTCCGGTAGCAGCTGCTGATTCCAGTTTGCAGGTTTTCCGGTGCTCACAGAACCAATCCCAGTGTCCCTCTTCAGCAGCACCAGCGCTAGTTGGCTAGAACACCATTCTCAACGATCTGAGTGCCAGCTTCCTGGGCAAGTCCTCTGAGCTCAGGCAAGCAGTGAGCGTTCATCACAGGTCTATGGGGCACCTCCTTTAAACTTCTAAGTTTTAATCATCTCAACCTCTTCATTGTGTTTCCCCAGTCCAAGGCGGGCTGCTTCCCGACGTTGCTACCTCCCCAGTACCTTAGTTTAATGTTCCCCTTTTGCCTTTCCAGTTCTTCAATATCTAGTAGTCAATTCTTTATCAATTGATTCTCTAATAGTTTAAATCTGTTCTTTTTTAGGGGATGTTATAGGTTTCTAAAAATTTTACCAAAACAAGCCTGTACTATTTCATCTTTTTCTGCACCCTTATAATCACATCCATTCCTGTTTTACTTCAACGGTCAGATACCATATTGATTTCCATAACTTTAAAGCATTAGATCCTTTTGTTTAAAACTCTTCACCCCCATCATCACAGTCTTTAAAACAATTCTAACCAAAAACCTATGTGCTGGGACACCATACATATTTAATTGTTCTTCAACCATTTCCTTGTATTTTATTAAATTCAGTATATACTCTATATGTACAAGATTCTCCAGGTTCTAAAGTCATGGCTTTGAAATTAAGACATACCCAAGGGAACTGTGGCTAGAAAAAAAGGGAAGGTGGCAGCAGGGATGGGAAAAAGAAGACAGTGGTTTTTTTGAAATAGAACATAGGATATCAGTGGTGACAAGGAAAGAACTGAAGGTGGTGGCAACAGTAAGGGCTGTCAGAGGAGATGGAATATTCCCTGGTTGTCTTGGTAAGTAAATGGAAAAGGAGGGCTTTAAGGTTTGGCATTGTGCTTTATGACAGATGAGGACATGCTGACCCTTCCAGAATGACCAGATTGACCTCGACCACTTAACTTGGGCCACTTGGGCCGACCTGGAAGTCATCCCAAGAAGATAGCCTACTCAAGAAGGCTTAAGGATCTGCCCTCAAAGACTAACTGAATGACTTCACACTTGAAGGAGGAAACATCTTTCAAATTCACTTTAAAAGCTTTCAAAAATGCTATTTAAAACTAAAAAGCAGAAGAAGCAAGATTACAGTCTGACAAATTCTGTGAAATATTTGGGGGCAAGAATTGGGATAAAGTAGGGAGGAAGGGAAGGATTGCAAGATTTGTTACCTAAAGGGCATAATTATACCTGTGACATATTTTCGAAGAACTTTTTCAATTCTTAAGTTTTCTGCTTTTGTACTTTCAAAACCCACCTAGATATAGTCCTATAAGTGTGTGATCCAGAGGAAATGTGAGATGTATCACTGATTACTTTGAGTTCCCAATAACTGTGCTATTTTTTATAGCTATCTATAGCTATGTAGTTGACAATAAACTATTTCATAAATGTCAGCCACTTCTCACAAGTTTTAAATTGCTTGCTTACTACTTATGAGACACTTAGGGAAATGACTGTAATTTTTTTTTCTCTAAGTTAGCTGTAGCAATCAGAGAAAATTTGATTTTTATAAAATTTCTTTCAAAGGATGTTTGACTTATGTGGTAACCTACTTCCTAAACTAGAGATTTATGAAGCTTTGTGAGTAGATAAAATAAAAAATTTTTTGTTTTAAGTTTAGGATCAGCAGTAGACTAATCAATCCATCTTTGCAGACCTGAAATACAGTTCTAGGAACTCTAGTCCCTCTGTTCTATGTGGGGCACCCCTATCTAGAGCAATCTTGTTGGGGGCCCTTTTATTCCTTAATTGGTGTAACTCCAATAAGTGGAAAATTCTGATGCTGAAAGCATTCGTTTCTCATTCACTGAATGAGAATAGAGTTCTTTCAGTCAGCTATCCGAGGTAACACTAAATTGAAGCATGCCCACTGTGATAAGCCAAAAGAATCAAGAGCTGACCTAAATGGATGGAAGCAACAAGATAGAATGTATTGAAGAGGGTGAATTTTGAATGACAGGAAAAGAATTAAATGATAGTAAGAGAGCAGAAAAGAATCTCATGAATGGAAGCAAGCTATGTAGCTTTGTTTCACATGAAGTAACAAAAAAAATGATAGTAAGGATGTCTCAAATGTGTCATCATCTAGAAAAACAAAATAAAGAATAATGGCTATTTCTGACTATTATGATAAATTTGTATTTATTTATTCAGTAAATATTTACTGAACACCTACTATTGTCAGTTGTTTTTGATTTTAGTACTTAGCTAAGGAGTAGGTATTATATACAGATTTACAACACCTAATATGTCTTTAAATGAATATGCTGAGTCTGAAGTTGCTTATCCTCTTTTCCCTCTCTTTTGAACATTGCTATGACTTCCATATCTTATTTCATTTAGTGTTTTCCACAACCCTGTTAGGTTGAATGTTATGCCTATTTTACATGAGGAAACTGAGGCTCCAAGGTGTTTAGTAATGGGCCCAAGCTTGCATATCTAGAAACTGAACCCAGCTCTGTTTGACTCCCAGAGTACTCTTACCTGCTATACCAACTGCCTGCCTGATTTGAGTAAAGTGATAGGGGGCCATTGCCAGCAAGTTTACTTGAATAGAAAATCTATGGTATATAGTAATGAGAAATGAAGTTTTAAAATGGGTATTTAAGAAAGGCATAAAACTGCCATTACTGAACTCAGAAGCAACCAAATGAAAACAGTGATTGCAAAAGAGGATTCTGGACTTATATATTTAAGGATAGAAATTGGAACCAACTAGAAGTATTTACAAAAAAAAAAACATGCCAGAAACAGTCATAACACGATAAGGAGCAGGATTAAGTTCATGGACATTTGAAGGAAGATTCAACCAAATTTGGGAAGGCAGATGTGAGAAGAGAAGATAACAGAAGAGTTAAAAATCATTCTCAAGTTGGCAAGCTTAGGAAACCAGGGATGGTAAATATACTGTGTTTGATGAAAAATCCGGAATGGAGTCGTTATTTTGGGTATGATGGGAAGATGAACTTGACATTCAATATTCAGATAATCATGAGGTGTCTTGTGTATTTAGAGTAAAATTCCATGGCATCCTCTCCAGCTTCTAGCCACTCTCAATTCAAACTTTTTATTCCCCATCACAGCAAAAAGACTCAAACACTTGCATAGGAAGGAATAATTTGGAAAGACTGGGCGATAAAGCCAATTAAATTTGGTGTTGATAACTCAATAATGGATTTGGTTAGACCACATTTCTGCTGTTTCTGGCAGCCCTATGCAAAGATTGTGAAGGCTGTTTTTTCTTTTTCACCATTGGTACATAAACTAGTTAAATATCAGGGTTCTTCCTTCCTTCCTTCTCTTTCCTTCCTTCCTTCCTTCCTTCCTTTCTTCCTTCCTCCCTTCCCTCTTTCCTTCCTTCCTTAACATAAACTAGTTAAATATCAGGGTTCTTCCATCCTTCCTTCTCTTTCCTTCCTTCCTTCCTTCCTTTCTTCCTTAACAAAAACTAGTTAAATATCAGGGTTCTTCCTTCTCTTTCTTCCCTTCCTTCCTTCCTTCCTTCCTTCCTTCCTTCCTCCCTCCCTTCCTTCCCTCCTTTCCTCATTTTCTCTTTCCTGTTTTGGTTGTGGGTATAATTCATAGGACATATGCCCGTGTCACTGTGGCTGATTTCTCAAGATATTGAATAATGATTTTAGTTAGATTACTGACTCTGAATAATAGAACATATCCTAATTCTGGGTATATTTTATAGATTTGTCTCTAACTGATTGTGATAAATACCTCTTCTTGGGCCCCATCCTGTTTGTTCAGAGAATAATTTGTTCTGGCTTTTATTCAATAAATGAATCACCAAAGTGTCCCAGCATGTATTAGAAACCATTAAATATATGGGAAGGTTTTCACTAGTGGAGTCTGTTTTATCTGTTTAGCCAAATATTTCCTTATTAATTTAATCCAAACAAGCTTCTCAAAATTATATTCTTCTGTAAGTATCTGTGCATGTTTATCTCATTAACTATAAAACTTTATTCCAGTTTAAAATATTAACTTATGTTTCATCCTTTAAAAAATAAAATTGTGAGAATTTTTTCCTTCAAATTCACTCATTTCTTGTCTTAAAAGAAAAATCAATTGATCTCTATGTTCCAAGGTCTGTATTTATCACATTCAACCTTCCTCCACTTCCCTACCAAACAACAAAAACAACAAAGAAACAAACTCAACAAATGCAAAAAAAGTAACAACTGTAGGCACCAAAGTTTGATTTGATATCATAATAACAGAATGGAAATTACTTTAACAAACTTATGGCATTACACAGGAGGACTGCATCTTTAAGATTTGAGTAAATAGAAAATACAAATTTATTCAACATATTTTCTGATAAATAGTCCACACTGTTTTGAGGTAAATTTTATGGCTTGTCACAGATGTACACTTCTTAAACGATGCTTCTGTAAAAGGAAGAGATTACCAAGAGTTCCACTGCTGCTGCCACTTCATACTTACAGCGACTGCCTCCAGGATTTGTTTAACAGCATTGGCAGCATCTCGTTCACTATAATATCCCTTTTCAACAATCCTAAAAAAAAAAAACATGAAATGCTTCTCAGACACATGCATTCAGTTGAGTGGATGTTAAAAGAAGTTAATTAAATTAATGTTAAAGAAGATGCTTCTAGACAATTGCAACAGGCTCCCATAACACCAGGGGAGAGATTTCCATAAACAGGAATTCTAGAAACCTTTGGGTTTATGTAGGAAAATGAAAAACATTTACTTTGCCTAGGCTTGAACTGTCCATCCTATTTGAGGACAAAAAATTCTTTCTTTTTATATTTGCAAAACATACATCTGACAAGGGGTTGATCTCCATAATATATAAAGAACTCACACAACTGAACAACAAAAAAACAAACAACCCGATCAAAAAATGGGCAGAGGAAATGAAGAGACACTTCTCCAAGGAAGATATACAGATGGCCAATAGGCACATGAAAAGATGCTCAACAT